TTTTTTTTTTTTTTTTTTTTTTGACAGAAAAAGTTCTTATTTTTTCACCTAAAAATTCTTAACCATGTAAAAATTTGAATCTTTTCTAAGACTCTTTTGTAGCGAAAAAATTACTTCTACAGCAAGAACAGAAATAGCTCGCAGTTCAATCACGATTTCGTCGTCAACTTCAAAAATATGCCTTGTTTTCAACGATTCTCTAAGACCTGGTGAATATTGAAGAACCATGAAATATGCAAGGACTTGAGGAATGTGGTAATCTGCACACATAGTAATTTGGCTGAAATTACACTTCAGAATAAAAAATAGCCGTAAATTCATTACTCTAATGAAGAAAACGTAAATTTTTTGTAAAAACAAATTGTATAACCGAAAAAGAATAAGACAACATGTAAAAACAAAACAACAAAAAAGTATACTACTAATTACAAAAGTTTTTACCAAAAGAACACCAAATAGAAAGACTAACGTAGCAAAAAAACTTTACAACATAATGGCAAGAAGGAAAAAGGGCTACCACCGAAACGGGGCAGTTCTAAATAGGAAACTGCAAAGAAAAATGTTGTTGAACTTACTCAAAGTCTTTGAAATCTCCAAGATCGTTTTTACCCTTACAGCATGAGTATAAGTGACCAATCAAAACTTGGGCTTTTTTTAGGAAAGAGACTGCAAAGCAAACGCATTAAAAAAGCTTTATCCACAAATGTGAAAACATTAAGCCGATATCAACTGCTTACTCCTTTGATTATCATAAGTCGCATAGTCCCGATAACTTGGGAAATTTTCAACAATTAATGCAAGTAGTTTGACAGCGCTTCTTTCGCATGCCGCCAAACAATTGTAGAATGAACCGTCAAATTTCTGAAAAGAAAAAAGTGACGTTCCAACGCATAAACGACAAGTGTTCACAAGCACATATACATAAAAAGAAAAGAAACAAATAATAGCTGAAACAAACTTCAAGAAGCACATTGGCAGTTTCAACAAGAACCGCAGCACGTTGCTCATGCAAAGCCCATACCAAAACTAAAAAATAGAGATAATTAAACGCATTATAAGAAAAAACAAACAAAGATAAAAGATGAACAAATGAAAAAGAACTCCTCATTTCCAGAAAGTTTACAAAAACCCTCGACTAGCATAACAAATTAAACCAGGCTCACACTTAACTTTTTTCAAATCCACAACATTTAAAAAGACTTCAGTTTGTTAATTCTGCGAAAAGTGAGCTGTTCTACACCATTATGCGGTAGAACATCTTCAGTACTTTGGCCTGCCATTTGTATTCTAAAACGTTAGTTAACTCATATCGCACAGCTGTTGAAAATCCGCTAATAAGAAATTTCCTTTAAAATTTTTTTGCTAGTCTCTTAGGGGGAAGAAACAACTAAGTAATCACCAGTTACTCCCAATATAGGCATCAAAAACCTTAACTCAGTGAGAAACTGGAGTGAAAGGTCCCGATGTAAATGCTTTTTCCCCAAGGATAAACACATCGTGATGATTCAATCTAATGTACGACTGCAATCAGATGAAAGTATCGTTAAAAGAAAATTTTCATCAAATAAAAATTGAAATCTATAAAATAAATCTGAACTAATAGGCTATGCAAAAAAGAGGTACACTGCTATACATTTTCTGCCAAGAGAATGGTCCTCAAAAATTTTCATTCAGAAAAATACTTCGCTCGAAAGCAGGAAAAAGTTGAGATTCAAATGCTGTGACAGTTAATGAAATTCTTTGCCCGTGTTCTACATGAAATCAGCTTCCAGCTCGTTGGCAACTGCCATGAAATGTTAAACAATCAGCCATGAAAAGAAAAGTAAGCGAATATTTTCCGATTTTTCATAGACCCTTCAATTTGTAGCTGTTGTTTATTTCGGGTTCTTGATCTCTGCATTCGTCAGCGAGAAAATACAGAAAAGTAATGTTCAAATTTTATACAGCACAGAAGATTCTCTTTGATGTAACGCAGTCCAAAATTAACTTCGACAGAAAATGAAAAATCAAGCTCACAGGTTTAAATAAATAATCAAATTTTAAATAGAAGTTCTATAAGTAGAGGATATATAAGTCAACTACCTCCTTTTTTCTTATAAGTTCCTTTGAATATATCACACACGTTCTGAACAGTAAGATTTTTCATAAATTTCGCATCTGTAAGAGGCATCCCAGCCTCTAAAGCACGATTAACACATGCTGCCAATGCATAATATCCACTATAGACTTTGTCTTTATAAGTCACTTGAATTTTGTATTCTTCATTCGTCCAAAGCGAAAAATTCAGAGTTGAGACGAGAAATATCCTAAGTGATAATTACTTCAGAACTTCCAGACAAACTTTTTTAGTTTATTAAAAAGTTCACTAGACAATTAATCGAAAAAAGTAAAAATGAACTACAGCCTGGCGTAGCTAAGGGAAGAATTGCAATACATACCAGTCTATCGCTGCCCTATCTGCAGTTTTTGGATGCAGCTCATGATTGGGAAAATCCATGCAGCACATTTCATTGTTTCTGTATCTCGAAAGAATCTAAAGAAGAATGCAGACCACGAACTCGGTGAAACAAAAGTGTAAAAAGACAGCAACATTACAAGCAAAAAATTTAAGCAATAGTTACTGCTCAGGAAAATGCACATTCAGCGCATTTTAATATGAAAAAGTCAAAATCTGAAAATACAAACCACAAAAAAATTACGCTTACGCATAATCTAACGATCTACTTCAAAAATTATTGAATATAAAGACTTACCCATTTAGCAACCTCATCGACACCTCTCGACTGGATATTGATGTGTCCGTTTGCATGAGCCCGTACAAAATAAGCAGTTTCGCGCGGTAAAAGACGATCTGGTTCAAAAAATTTTAAACCTCTAAAGCACTCGGGAAGGGGTTTTTCCCAAAGTTGTGTATCATCCACAAAGGCAGGTCTTTCTGTAGGTTCATTTTCACCACTCATCTACTGCAGGGAATTTTACAATCTTAACAGATTCAATATTAAAATATCGCTGGTAACTTGTGAGAGAACAAAGAGCCGAAAAGAAAGCACCATAAAAAAAGTACGTACATAAAAGAAGAATAATGTTGTTTGGGAAACAAATAGCAACAAGTTTTTCTCTATTTGGCAAAAGTCTGTAGTGCTTGAAATTTCGTTATTCAAGATTTTAATACTAGTATTACTACGAAATAACTATTAAATATTGTTAATGCGCACTGTCAACCGTAAACCAAGTGTAAACAATCTCCAAAAAATAAATGCTTTTTATGTGCTTACTACAATATCTACAAATAAAAATGTATCATGACACAATTCTCGTTTCCTTTTTTGTTAGAAAAACACTAACGAAAAGTTCAAGAGCTACAACAGTACAGGATTCAATGGAACTAACCACTTAAATATTGCAATATAAAACAGTTTATTAATGTTTGCATAACAAAAATTTTCCCTGGAAAATACATAAGGAAGTACAAAATATAGCTATCGATAGAAACTTAAGAAACACCCATCTTTCCCAAAACTCAACTGTTCCAAAAACGATACTACTGCATAATTATCGCTCTCCCGAGTCAGTTTATTTTCTTTGGCACATTCAACAGGCATCAACAAAAACAAAGAGAAAAATTTTGGCTTTTCTCCATTTCGAAGTCTTTCGTTTCCAATTTTTTAAAACAAAAATAACAGCGCTAAATTGGCGCATATTTCCAAAGTTGGAAGTGCGCCAACGGCAGCTCTTTTTCTGAGCGTACAGTAATCTTCAACTAAATACCTATTTTCGTTGCAGTAATAAATCTTCACCAAAAATGTCTTTCGGTCATTTACGCCACCCTTTTTTTTGCACCTTTTCTAACAAACTCGCTTTTAGCAAATACAGTTGGCTAGATAGAATTGAGAGTCCATTCACTGTTAACTTATATCCGAAGTTTCTTTGAAAAAGGGCCTGTAGTCGTCTCAAAATCTTATCCTACCTTTGCAGACGGTATTTTCAAAAAGATACAATTACTAAGCTGCAAATGCGGTAAAAGAAAGCGGTACACGCAATTTTTTTTCACTTAGTCCTTTGTCACTTGAATTTTACCACTATCAAAGATGGCATACTGATTTTTGTCACCTATCTCACTAGCTTTAGTTTGGAATTATTGCCCCTCCCCTCTATGTTCGGTGCAGAGTTTGGAGTTTTTTGAAATCTGTAATGAAAACGGAAACGATGTGGCGACACGTATTCAAGCGGTACAGTAACCACTCAGCAGTTAAAAGAGAAAAAGAATTAATGAAATTATCGTCATTTACCCATTGTATGCAGCTTTGAGTAAAAATGCGCAACAATAATAATAGTGCCAACCAGTAATATTAACACCAGTGATAATACTTATACTGGCACCAATACTAACACTAATGCTAACACTACTGGTACTACAAATAACCATAGCAATAAAGATAATAATAATAGTTATGATAGCAACAATGACAATAAAAGTATCAACAGTACTGAGAATAACACAAGACTATGAGGAAAAATGGTAATGGTGAGACGGAAGAAAGTAATGCGGTTTTTCGAATAGACCCAAAAGGTAACCGGCAGTGTGAAAATTCAGATGTATTCAGATGTATAAGCGAAAGAAGAATATTAGCGAAATAAAAACGTGGCTGTTTGATATGGGTACGACGTAAGTGGGAACGTAGTCAACTTAACCTACAAGTTAAATTAACTGAGTCTTGAAAAAAAAACTGCAAGCAAATTCTGGAGTAAAACTCAAAATTCTTTGCTGCTTCTTACCTATTCTCAACAGATAAACTACTTTTGATGATGTAGAAAAAGAACCGTTTTAGCACGTCTATCGGTAAAGCCTGATACTGAGTAATGTAGTCTAAAATGTAAAATTTGCAAAATATTTGATGTTATGGTCATTTGTTCATTCATCGTTAACATTGTTGTGCTCCATTATAAATCCGCAGGAGGTGAAGCATTTACGACATAAAATAACAGAAAGCTGGATGGTGAACTTATACATAGTGTCACATGGAAAAAAAGGTGCGTACTATCTAAATTTTGGTTGAATTAATTAGAGTTCAGTGCTGTAAAAGTTTTTGCTTAAATCAAGTAATGCAAATTTTTGGGGGAAAACGCTAGAAGCTTAATTCATCTTTACAGCACAAACAGGAAGAATTCCACAATTGCTTTTTTGTTGACAAGACGGAGGAAACAGATAAATTTTGTTTTTATTTAATCCTGGAAGGCACAAGAAGCCTGCAAAAAAAGGTTGTGTAAAATGCTAACAGTAAATTTCGAAGAGAATTTCAGTCGCTGTGCAGCACTGAACTCTCAGATCAAGAAATGGAATGCCAAACTTTATTTATTTGCATTCTACAATGCTCCAACTAGTGAGTTTTTCTCTTCACGACAGCGAACGACGTTAGGCAGATACCAAGCTTGATCATTTTTTTTTTAATTTGACTCACTGACTTAGAAGAACTGATTCCAAAGAAAAGAATCACAGACTGTTAATTGTCCAAAAAAAATTTCTGTTTTAGTTGATAGAGAATATAAGTCAATTTTTTTGATGTTTTTTACTTTTTTACTAACAACACTCAACTGCAAGCAGTTTCTAATGTGCACCAACTGTTTTCAATCAGATAACACTGTATTGTATCTTCAGATCAGGCAGTCTTGTGCATTTTATCAATATCTTTGTTTAAAATTGAAGTGTTTGTTTAACAAGTCAAGAAATGTTTAAATTTTTAAAATATTTAAACATACACTTACTATTTTTGACATTGTTTTATATGTCCAAAGTCACGAATTGCTTAAATTTGTTATAACAACATTAAATGACCAGCTTATCAAAGATAAATTTAAACTCTAAGACATTAAAAATATTGTTCTTATGCTATTAACACAAAAAGATTGTAAATTTTATCCTCCTGATAACTAGTTGCGGCCATAGGCTGTACAAATATACCTTACTAAATATTTCTGTTTAAATTTGATATTTTTTGATTGCATAACTCCCGTTGCAGAATTTATTTCTGCGAGAAAAGCATTTTTTTACTTTAGCTATCAAGAAATAAGCGTGATAAATTTATGTATAATTCTGCTAATACTGCCTCTAAAATGGTTTTGCTAATGACTTTGTGTAAGAAAATTCCAACTCATTATGAATCATAATATAAATGACAACATCAATGAAAATAAAATAAAGAACTCATTCAAAACTCTATAAATCTTATTGATTCTTCTAAAAAACAAATTTAAGATCAAGACTTTATTTCGGGTTCAGAAAGTCACTAAAAAAAGGAAGGCGCAATCATGGAAAAACAACAAATTCTGGTTTATTTGATAATAAAGCCATGCGCCTGCGAAAAAGCTATCCATTTTCTTGACGTATTCGATAAGTCGCTTATTTCAGTGTGGACACCTTCTGAAAACATATACCACACTTTTTACTCCAAACACGCATATTATACATGCCACTGCAAAGGAGATCACGCCTACTGCCGATTCTTCATCTGCAAATTAAGCAACAGTCTAGTAGTTTATAACTTACAAAATATCCCAAGACAGAAAGATAACGCGACAATAATGCATGCACATTTCATAAGTTTAATTAAACGAAATAAAAAGCAAGTTCGTGAACAGTAAGGAAAAGACAGAACTGGAGATAGCACATACCTGATCGAACGCAAGTGCCAGACAGGCTGCAAACAATTTCACCAGTTCTTTGTAACAGTACTGAAGCGACCTGTTAAAGTACTGACGGCGATCCGTAACGCTTAATGCGCCGAAGACGTAACGAACAATGTGGTCTACAATGCAACTACCTATGTTCAAATAAGAAGTACAAAAAGTTTATTCATTATTAGTTTAAAATTATCATCATTCTTTGTTAGAAGGTAAACCCGTCTGGAAAAGCATTGAAAAACAACCTTAAACGCAAAGAGTGCTGCCTTGACGAAGCTAGGCAACGCAGCAAATTACAGTTTTTAACGGGTATGTCAATTTTTGATCACTATCAAATTTAAAACGACCTGCCAGTCAACAGTAAATTTGATCTTTCTTTCATCTTTTCCATTACACCATAATATATTAAATGACCATGGAATGCAATGCATCAGTAATGGAAGTAATAAACCTACAGCAAAAATACGAGTGGTACCAAAAAATTAGACTCTTATTTTAAGATGATAGTGGTTTAGTGTAGGAAGCTGGAACTTGCTTTCTGAAAAGAAAACTTTTTTATACTTGCTTTGTTAACTGGCTGACTTTTAAGCTTGACTTTAGTTTTCACTAACGTTTTCTGCAGGTCTCGCTGACTGTTGCGGAAAACTCTCTGTTAGAGATGACTTCACTATGTCGGTAAATCTGTTAGCAGAGTAAATCAACAATGAGATCACCACGGTCTCTGCTGGTTGCAACACTGGCAGTAAAACTCATGAGAAGCTTTAGGTCAGAAAAAAAATCATTAAGAGATAAAAAAATGGCCAATCTTTCACAAGTGACCTGTTTTGCCGAAAATTATTCTCGATAGTACACTTCTCTAAAGCAGTTGTCTATCAACCATTTTGAAAAATAATTTTTGAAAAAAATTTTTTTTGATTTACTGAGGTTAAAAGTTTTATGTTTTCGCAGGCGCAAATTTGGAAATATTCCGGCTTGTTGAGATTTGACTGAGTTGATTAGAATTTAACAGAGATCACTGTCACCAGGGAAGAGCAGCAGCAGAAAATTTTTTTTTTACAAAGTGAAATATTAATGAAAAGAATAAAATTTACCTCAGTTTCTTTAACATCTGTATGAAATTTCCAAATTTGTACTGAATCGTGAAGACGTTCCAAAATAGTTGTACATTTTCTTATCAACTTATTGCACCAGTAATGATGTAACTAGAACAGTCATTAGTTTTGCCCGTTTTTCATCGTCTTCATTTCCTGCTTTTCATTTTTCATTTTAAAACTGCTTCTGATTTACACATTCGTTATAAACTAGCAGATTTGAGAAAAAATAATAAAAAATAATTGTTAAAAAGTAGCAGATTTTTAACAGACTAATTAGGAAAGTTTTTTAAGCAGCGTTACCTATGAATGAAGAAATTATGCATATAATGTGTTACTCATATAAAAGTAGCTTGAAAAGGGATGGTCAGATTTTTAATAAGTATGAGTGATCAATATACTGATCTGTTATATACTATTAATTAATTGTTACTAATAATGTGACAGCAATGTATTTGAGAAAGCAATTTAGGTAACAAGAAAACGTAATAAGAGCGCAGTTTATTTTAAATGGTTTTTTTAAAAGCATATTATAACAGTCTCTGTGTTTCAATCATAAATTTAGCTTTATTAAAGCTCTATCAATGAGATATGTGAAAAAGAGTAGCCTGTGATAGATTTTTTACAACTTTTTCGCTTGTTTATTTCTTCATTTCTTCGTTTTTCTTTTTTTTTTTCCAATAGTCTTTTCTTTGTTGCACATAACAACAATTTTTAGAAATTCCTATAACCTTTTGATTGAGATTTCTAACCAGAAGAATAAAAACTTGAAAAACTTGGAGGAAAGAAACGATTAACCGGAATTTCTTCTGAAGATTATTACCTGGTCATCACCACAAACAGAAAAATATCTTTAAAATGACGGCGGAGAACACATGAAATACTACAAACGAAACGACTCCAGTCTACTTGAGGATGTTCTACACTACCTTAAGCTTAATTGCCAAATAACAGCAGAGTTTGCTAAGTTTGCGAATTTGATAAAAGACATTATCGGGTGTTTGTTTTGTACTAATATTTTGTATTTAAGAGAAGAGCTTACGAATGACGAATTAAAAAGTTACAAATTAACAGTGAAGAACGAGCTTTCTCATTTGGAATGCGATTGTAATTTACCAGCGTGCACGTATTTATTGAGTTAAAAAACTTGTGCCACAACTGATTCTTTTCTTTGTGCAGTACGGTTATGAGCTGTTTCTTTTCAAAACCAATGACCTATTTACAGAATAGATTTGAAGTGTTTACTGTATGCAAGACAACCTAAAGCTTTTCGTCTTGCGCTCATTCTCTTTCAGGTTTACTATAAAAAAGTCATTCTCCGTTTAGAATCACCGAAAAATTTGAAGTTTTGTATAATGCATTTTGTAGAAACTAATGAATGCTTTTAAATAGCTTACTAAAACATTTCTTATTCTGCTAATGTCTTTAAGAAGTTAGCATTTTTTACCATGGCAAAGTGCTCACAGAGACTTGAAAACGACAAAGTGTCTTCAAAATCTGTTTTCTTGCTAATGAAGAATATATTCAGATTTGAAAGTTGTATGAAAAACAAACACTTCGCAGTTTTAAACAGGCTTTTAGCTGTTACCTTTAACTGTTGTAACACAGACACACTTTATTAAAATTGATCTTTTAGAACTATTTCATAAAAGTTAGTTAACAATATTCATTTTAATCTTGAAGTTTGTTAAAGACTTATTGTTTTACCAGGTTTCTTCTCTCTTTCTTCAATTATTTTTTACTCTAAACAGGTTCAATTTGCTAAAAATTTTCCAGTTTCCGTTTACCACTAGAAACTTTTTCTGCCATTCTTGCTGAAGCGTGTGAACAGTTACGTCCAGAAACTATTACGAATTACCGTTGTGGCAAAAAACAGTAAATTTTTTAACTCTCACTTAGAATTTATAGTCGACTTTCATAAGCTTTAAGATTTTTTAAAAGATTCCTTTTTACTTGATCTGTAAATGCTTATTGATTAAAAAAAAAGCAAAGGAAAGAAAGCACAATTTGTTGTAACTACTTTTTGCTGTTAATTTGATAACATTGCCAGATATCTTCAAGAAGTCCAAGTGCATTTTCCCTAATATACTTTATCAGTTCTTTTTCGCGATCTGGGTGTTTTCTTCGAACTTCTGCCTCAGTTATTTTTCCAAAAGCAAATAATATGTGTACCGTTGCAAACGGGATCATGCGAACAGCTGCTTGCTTCAGCTACAAATAAATAACAATTGAGATTGCTTTTAACTGCAAAGTACTGTGAAATCGAAAAATAGTTAAAGTAAAAAATATAAAAATTTATAAATGGTAGATAAGCTATTACTGGAAGTAGTGCACACCTGATCGCACGTAAATGATAGGCAATCTCCAAATGATTTTTCCAGCTCTTCGTAATAATACTGTAACAACTGGTCAAAATGTTGCCGACGATCTGTTACACTCAATGCGCTGGAGACATAACGAATGATGTCTTCCACAATACAACCAGGATGAACTAGCTGTATTTAAAAACAGTACGTAGACTATTGTTTTCATTGTTTATTTAGAATACACATCCTTTTGTAAAAA